ACATTTAAGTTTAAGGAGACCTATTGTGCAAATTTTCAAACACGTTTTTATTCTTGGACCCTACCAGAGTGACTTTGCATGAAATGCAGTTTAGAATAATCTTTATTTATCATATACTCGGCCTTTGTGCAGCCCTTCAGTTCACCTTGTGACTGAAACAAGCTATTTTAGCTCCCCTCCCTTTAAGTTAACTTTTATCCGATTGGCTGGGACATGTGTGTGGGGTTGCAATGCTCAAGGCCACTGAACCATCCTTGTTCAGCTCCACTTCAGCATCCACTTCAGGCTCACTTCAGATTGAATCCACCCATCATTTGTTTGTGGTACGAGTCTTTCTGCCAGTTCTTCACTTTCTCAAAGTGAAGAACTGTGAACCAAATCAGTAAACTAAAGAGCACTGAGGTGGACTGAGGATGTTTTAAGCCAGCAAACAGTTTGTGTCACTTGCTATGCGGTTAACTGACAAGTTTGTGTAAAAAGGATTATTGGACTAACAGTCTATTTATTGTGATACCTAAAAGATGTCTGCAGCCTTTTTTGACTAGCAGCTTTTCATAGAAAGCTGTTGGTCTGAACTGATTATAAATTAACTACATCTCACAGCTTAAAGCCTTAGGTGATGAATTTTCTTCCAAGAACACAAATATTTTAAGAACATAATCATTAGTGATCCCCACAGCAGATGGCGGTCCCTCCCCGAGCCCACTTCTGCCGGGGGATTCTTCCTGTTAAAAAAAGAGTTTTTCCTTCCCACTGCCACCAAGTACTTGCTCTGTTATAACAAAATTAAATGCCATCAGGCAACAGTTGGGATTTGGTTGTGTATAAATACAACTGGGTGAGTAACCTGAATGCCACTGTGATGTTTATTTGTTTTTATATAAGGTTGGGAACTACAAACGCACGGTGAAGCGGATTGATGATGGTCATCGGCTCTGCAATGATCTGATGAACTGCATCCAAGAGCGTGCCAAAATTGAGAAATCCTACGCACAGCAACTGACCGAGTGGTCCAAGAGATGGAAGCAGCTGGTAGACAAAGGTGAGAGATCATTTTACTCAATTCCAAAAAACATTGGATACTTTGTAAAAATAAAAACAGAATGCAAAGATTTGCAGTTCTGATAAACCCATATTTTCTTTTAAGACAGAGCACAGAAAACGTATCAAGTGTTTAAATTGATAAAATGTGCATTTTGATGATATCTGATTTTATATGAAATGATGTTATGTACTGTAAACGGGAGATATTCAAAATCTTTGCAATTTTATGTTGAGGGCCATTATTCTGATGTTTTTTCATAATTTGTGAATGTACTTTTTTGCAAACTGATGAATCGATGGCAATCTTTAATTCTATGAAACTCTGCCTCGCAGAGGTATTTTTTTATTTCCATTAATAAAACCCATTTATACTCATGTTACTGATCTGCTGTTAGTTACTCCAACTGTTCTTTAGTACCAGATACCTTTCCAGAGACAAATTGTTGCCAACAAATTCAATCAGCTATTATTATTCATGAAATAGTGAAATGTCGCAGTTTAAGCTTTTGATATTTTTTGTTCTATTGTGAATAAAATATGGGCTTATGAGATTTTAAAATCATTGTCATTGCATTATGTTTTAATTGACATTTTACATAGGGTCCCAACTTTTTCAGAGTTGGGTTTGTATTTCATATTAACATGGAGATACATTACTAGTCTTTATTTACAAATTGCCTTCAAAGTGCATCTTTTGCATTTAATATGGGAACAGTTTTCCTCAATACCCATTTATAGATTTTAGGGAATA